TTACTAGTACTACTACTACTACTACTACTACTTGAAATACTGCTGCTGCTACCTCTACTGCTATGCCTACTGCTACTACCACCATCACCACCACCGCCGCCGCCACCGCTCGTGTATTACTACGCGGTATGGGGGCGACAACGGCCACTCGGTCTTGTTCCCGCGTATGCAATACTCCGCATCAGCTTGCTTTCACTTGCACAAGCGTCCCTAATCCAGCCAAGCAGCTCGCAGACTGAACCTCACGATCATGAACATGATCATCATCATTACCATCATCATCGTCAGCATCATCGAGACTATTCAGTTGGCACAGTAGTATCGCCACTAAGGCTTGAAGGCCTGGAGCAGGCTGTTTGCACGACTCTGCCGGAAGTTCAGGTGGAGTTTCTGCTGCTGCAGACTGAGTGCAACAGCATAAGGGGACATCGAAGTGTCGGTTTTGGGGTTCATCACTTCCTGTCTCGTGCGTCGAGAGTTGACTTACAGTTGCGTCTCCCCAAACTAGGTTGTTAACGTGTGTATGTACTATGTACCTTCACCTGCTATACACTACATGAATATGCTCTTTGGCTGGTTATGTTGGTTATGGAGCTGAGTTCCCCGTCTGAAACCCGAAGCGGCACTGCTCCTTCAAAGCGGTTCATTTTGCAACTTGTGTCTTCGGAACCTTGAGATCAGTAGATTGAAGATTCATAAGTTGGTCACAACATCAGTATTCAGTATTCAGCCCAGGTTGCGCCTGAAGCCCTTTGTCGAAGATGCCCTTGACACCCTTTTTCCGTCCCCGCGCTTCCTTCGCCTGCTGTGCCATCCGGGTGATGCTGGAGCAGCGCGTCTGTTTTCCAGAACTTGCGCGCAGAAGCTTTTTCGGTGTTACTGTGTGAATCTCGATTCTTTGTGTGTGCTAGATGATGGTGGGTGGGTGTTTCCTTTAATGCATCAGATCAACTCGGGTCAGCCAGCCGTGAAGCCGAAGCAGGAACTGAGTGTTGTTGTGGGTGTTGTTTCTTACTTAAACCCTAAACTCTCTGGATTGTCCGCGTGTGAGCTCCGAAACCCTAAACCTTAAGCCACTTATCGTTAACTTCATAGGAGGGAAAAACCGCATAAGTCTGTTGCATGGAAGTACAAGACCTCAACAAGACAATGTCGGCACGGATCATTTAACAACACAGGGCTGTGAGGCCCGAGCATCCGGGTCTCGGGTTGAGAAGTCAACGCCCGAAAGCCCGCAGCTTTCGCCTCCTCCCAGCAGTTTAGCACCGAAATCCACCACCAGGGTGTCCCATTTACCCCTAGGCCCTAAATCCTATAATTAAACCCTACACTTCGTCCCAGGTGCCCATCCATGAGGCCATTCAACGAGCACAAGCGTGTGGAGAGCCACCCGAGGCTGTGCTTTTGGCGGTCCCCACGGCCGCATCTGTGACTTTTGGCTTAGGGCCTTAAGGTGTGGGTTCGGGGTTTAGGCTTAGTGACCTCTTTCGCTTCTTGGTGTCGTTGTTGGTATAGAACCGAATACTAGAACAGCAAAGACTATACTGTACTGTACAAGGCTTGCCATCATCTCCTCCCCCTTGCTTGTGCACAATCTTCTCGTCTTTAGTATCATTGTCATGTGTAGTCTTATCAAGATGCTTTTTACAGTAGCACTTGCGAGTATTGCCGTTGGGGCTGTCTGCAATACATGTGAGCATGTGGAGTGAACTTAACCTGAGGTTTGTGTTTACAGTTCCGAGGCCCTTACAAAACCTTTCAAACTCGCCTGCCTGCAAAAGGTTGGCCCAGAGGGTGGATGGGTGGACTACGAAGTAGAGATGTTCCGGAAGCACGGCTTTGTGCAGGCGCGGGCAGGGTATTAATTCAGCTCCAGGGCAGCTCTCCGACCTTAGAGCACGACAAAACCCTACAAACCGAATGAAACTCTTACTAGTAGAAGGCCCGTACACATAAAATCACCAAACCCTATGCGGCTTAAACTGTTTGACTTTGACCTCTGAAGCTTTTCTTCAGGTCTCCTTGGGCAGCCGAATCCTGACCACGGATGTGGCGTTGGTGTCTCTGGTCGCCCTGACCGTGGATAGCCTCGCACGAGTGGCTCCACAGAAGGCATGGTACATGGCCAAGCAACAGCACTTAAAATCAAATTGTCGCAAAATATGGCCCTCAATCTTAAGTCCATATTCTACCACACTCACTTGAAATGCCCGACAGGCACACCGGACTTTGCCTGCAAGGGCTGCAGATGCGTTGGCTCGTTTGGTACCGTGCTGCTAGCTTCTTGCTACCTGGTGCAGCGGGAGAAAAAGAAGCGAAAGGAAAGCATCCAGAAGTGTCCGGATGCCGGGCCACATCGACCCGTCGACGGGTCCGTCACTTAAGCCTTCCAGGCCTCGTGATAAGTTTCCCCTCAACTTTGAGCAACGGAATCAGAAGTCACCGCAAACCCCGGAGCCCTGTGGAAACTCAAGCTTGCCCCTTGATGGATAGCAGGAAAGAAACACAAGCCCGGCGCGGCGAGACAGTAGAAAAAGTCTCTTCTCTGACCAATCGAAATCGGTGGGGTTACCCGAATCGACGATGGTCTCCAGACCGCAGTCTCCTACATAGCCAGTCTCTTGTAGCTTCTGGCAATGCAATGTTTACCACGGGGTGGACAGCGGGTTCCTGTTTATAGCGCAAGTACTATGAAGGACCCCGTGTGAATCTGACGACCCTAGAGCTTAGCCGCGGGATGTGTCAAAGTCCATAGCCGCAAGTGTTCCTACACGACTCCTTCGTGCCCCTGCCTTTACCCTGGACCCCATCCCTTTGTTTGGGTGTAGGTCTTAAGAATCGCATTCAACAGGCAAGCTGTCTACGAAGCAAAAGGAGAAGCCCAAATCTGCAGGGCTTGTGGCCCTTTCACGCAGTCTCATTTCCTTCAAACATCGTCAAGACCGCGAGTATCAGTATCTTCCACAGAGGCTGCATGACTTGTAGAGCTTGAGTGCTACTCCGGAAGTTTTTTTAAGCATGGAGACCGAGTCCAGTCTAGTGCAGGAGCTGAAGAAAACCACCTGCAGAGATTTTTCCAGCTACCAGGAGGCGAAGGCGGGCTGGGCGAGGGGGTGTTCCCACGGCATGCATACAATGTATAGTTTACGTATGTGTAATTGTATGTATGGCTCCTTGTTTGTATGCATGAATGTCGTCTGTATGCGTGTTATACATATTGCATGCCTCGGTTGTCCTTCTTGACATGCACACACCCTCTCGCAAACAGAGGTCTCCCTGAATATTCAGCGTGATATGCATCTGCATCTCTATGAGTACTATGTTCACCGTTGACATTGGTGCAAACATTGTTTAGATTTGCTTATCAGTCTCTTCCCCGTGAGCTTCCCGTATGAGTCGAGGAACGCCGCGTCAAACCTGCCCAAAACAGCAGTGGGGAGAGGTGTTGGCTTGGCCTGCCCTCTTTATCCGACATCCCAGGCCTGGTTTGACAAGTACTTTTCCCAGTACGGTGATGTGGCCGGCCTGGACGGCGACAAAGATGGCAAGCCGTGTGAGAAGCTTCTGAGAAGCAAGTGAGGCTTGTTCTTAGTCAAGGTCCTGTTCTGGGAGACCTAAACCGGCCAAGGTAAACGGTGTTAGGCCTGCTTTCAAGATCGGTATTTACAAGTCTGGCGATTGTTGACCATTTCTCGTGTGCACATGCTTAAACCTTAGCTCCTTTTGGGCTATGGGAGTTGTTCCTTTGGACCCTCAGCATCACTTTTTCCACATCGTCTCGCCGCAGCCACGGACATCGTACGGCTGCGGAGAAAAGATGCCTCCACCGGTGTCTTGGTTTGATAAGCTCGGCTCCAAGGCCAGACAAGGCCAAGCTTCCGCATTATGTATCATAAATGATCTTATATCATATGTTAAATGCTTTGTATTATAAGAACATCACAAATTACAAATGAGCCTAAGGTCTTGCGAACGCAGACGTCAGGTCAGCTGTCACTGACACTCAACACGCCAAGCCGCAAGTTCCACATCGCCATGGCAAGTGGCTACCTGTCCATTACACATGATGTTTCAGATGTTAAGTTCGTGCTCAACCACAATAGTATTCTCTTCTTTTCATCAACCCCAAAGCTCACAGTAGAAGAACATTCCGTTTATACATATATATATATATATGCATACATATACATTTGGGGTATACTATTTATACATATATATGTATATATATATATATATACATAGAGAGAGAGAGTATACCCCAAATATCCCCTCGCCTGCCTTGTGCGAGACTGAGAGTCGAAATGTCCCCTTATAGCCCCCTATATAGTCATAGTATGTTATACTCCAAAACATCCAGACTCTGTTAACCCAAAGCCCATCATGCTTCAGGCAGCTGCTTAGCTGGAAGGCTCTGCCGCTCAATGAGCTGCCAGGAGCTCGGTGATGTGGTTTAGGGTTTAGGCTTAGTGGTGCGCTTTAGGACTTTAGACAGAATAGGCCGTCAGGACACTTTGGGTAACATTTCTTTCGCTTGTTGCTGTCATTCGCCCCGGGTGTTGCTCCATACATGTGTTTTTTCTCGATTCTGATGTGCAGTCATTATGCCTCTCGCAAGTGTTAGTTAGGGCAGCTGCCACGATTTAACATTGATAGTCCTCGGACTCCGGCTGGCAACTGTTTTGCAACATTGCTGACAGCTACCAAGCTGGACCATGCTGCATTTATCAATATTATCTGCCAAAGGCGAAAGACTGCTTGTGCTTGGACGAACTAGTCCAGCCACCACTGCCACCAAGACTGCTTCTTTGGTGCTCCTGCTGCCGCTGCTGCTG